AAGAATATGGAATTCCAGAAATCAGAGTTAAACTAAAATAGACCACCTCTCCCCGAGCTTAAATGCAAATCTTCATAGGAACAAGGTGAGCTAATTTATTTTTTAGAGGAAGTCTCTCTAATGTATCATCCATAATTTCTAGCATGCAATAAAATATGTTAGACATGAAAAGTAGGAGAGTGACCAATAATCAAGAGATAAACTAATCAAAGCAAACTAAAGTGAACAAAGACTTCAAAATAACTATGACTGATATGTCAAATAGAGCAAAGGGTGTACAAGAGAGGTGAGAGAATATTTTAAGTTATCATCTATTAAAAAAGAATCGAATTAACATTTAAGAACTGTAAGATTCAGCATCTAAGATTAAGACTTTATAGATAACCAGACTGAACACATTTATCTAATATTCAGAAGACAGAATTAATGAAGGCAACAAAAGGCCAATAGAAAATATTGGAAATGTTTTTCTAAAGAAAGAGCACAAGGACATAGAACCCAAGGACAAGAGCACAAGACATAAAACCCAAGGGAAAAGTTATAGCAATAGTTATAACTGGAGTTCTAGAAGAGAATAAAAGTAGTATTTGAAGAAATAATAGCCAATAATTTTCCAAGTCTGTTTAAGAATACCAACCAACAAATTTGAAGAACTCAGAAAACCTTTAGCAGCATAAGTAAGAAAATCACATCTTAGAAATCAAAATCAAATGGCTGAAAACTGAAGCAACTCATCTTAAAAGGAGATTTCATATGATCTGGATTTCCATTACCTCTAGATCTTACCTCTTATGACTCTCCAGCTTAATCACTCCCCTCTTTGCTATTTCTCTGAGCACATCAGGCACAATTTGGCTCCAAAGACCTTACATTATTATAAAGTTGAACTGCAGAAACTTGTTCACCGCATTTTGACTTGCCTTACTGCTTTATATCATTGCCAATTATAAATAAACCTGTTGAATTTTTCTGGACAATGCCAGCATTTGGATTTTTTTAAAACAAGTAAATTTCTTATTGATGGCAACTAAATGGTCTTTGTAGCATTTTTATCATACAGTAGATTCCAACCACTCACTCTACTTTTCTGAGTTGTCCTACATGCAAGTACATGTTTTTAATGTTGTCTGTCTTCTGTGCTGTTCCTGTAAGTCTGCTATTAAAATACATTAAACTATAAAAAATAAAAAAGACCTTACATTAGCTGTCTCCTCTGCCTAGAACAGTCTTGCCCAACATAGCTCTTTTTCAGACTTTGCTCAAATGTCACTTTTTCACTGAGACGTACACTGGACACTTTTAATATTCAAAGCTCACTTCACACCCACTTGTGCACTTTCACCCCCTCATCCTTGCCCACAGATTCCCAATCACCCTCATAAGTCTGAGTTTTTTCCATAGAACTTTTCACCTTCTAACATCTAATTACTTGTATGTTCATTGCTTATTTTTTCCACCCACTAAAAGGTTATCTCTGAAAGGAAAAGGATCTTTACCTTGTTGACTGCTTATCCCATAGCTTGAAGTGTCTTGTATAGGGCTGCTCAATCATGATTTATTTAATGAATGCATACTAGCTATTATTCTATTATCACCATTATTATTCTAAGTCCTTTTAGTCACCATATAACATGCTCCTGTCATGTACTTCATTCAACAGAATTTTCTCTTTTTGCATTTAGGAGTGCTTTTGACATGAGATACAATATAATACTTAAAAAGCACAGCTTTAGAAACAGGTAAGATGATCTAAATCTTGGCTTTGTCAGTAGCTGTATGGCTTGCTACAAATAAGTTCATCTTTCTGTGCTTGGTTTCCAGGGGCCTGACAAGAGGGTTAAATAAACTAATTCACAAGAATTGCAGAGGTAGATGGGCCAAGAGTTATTATTTCAACTCAACGTTCAAGTTCTGAATGACTATCTCTGTGGCTCATGTGGGTTTCCTCATCATAGTTGCAAGCTCTAGACATCTGTCTTCTCACAACCACATTTGGGCAGAAAAGAGAAGTTCTTCCTTTTTGTCAGTTAGGCCGATCTTTTCCAGAACTCCCCATGTGAGAGACTCTCCTCACATGGCCACTTCTGCTTTCAAGAGTCTGTGAAAGAGGAAAAGGGACAGAGTATTCTGATAGCTGGACAGAAGCAGGGGGCATGGGAATGGCTTTTGCCACACACAACTAATTGTATCTGATGGTGGTGATGATCACAGCCATCTGGAAGGGAGGGTAGGTGGGCTGGGGGGGAGTCCTGAGCTTTATTCTAGACCACATAAACCACAGTTATCTCTGGAATATGAATATTTTTTAAAGTTCCTCAGATAAATTTTATGGTTGTCAGCTTTAGGACTTTTATAGTAAAGCACTATAGTGTTTCCAATTATATAATGCAGTTTTGCTGGCCTGTCAAATATCAGAGCATGATAAATTAATTTACTATATCAAACAGTCTTCATCTCATTTCCACCTGCTAAATTCCAATAATTTTTGTAGATTAGAAAGGATAATTTCTAAGAAATATAAATGAACTAAATGTAACAATTAAATTTAAACGTCTGCTTAAAAAACAAAATATGACACCCACTTTAGCACTGAAGAATGAAATGCAGATATTAGAGTATGTCACTAGGTGATGCTCTTTGTCAGACTTCTCTTTTGGTAATCTGAGGAATTAAAACTCATTCAGGGAAAGAATTTACTCTAGATCTGAAAACAATTTAGCTGGCTCTTTAACCACAAAAGTCACAGAGTCCACAAAATAAATTTATATGCAAAAAGTAAGCCACACAAAGGTATGGGAGAGAAACTTTCTTAGAAAGTCTGTAAGTTTAGAATACTGAGACTTCCATTGGGTCTCCCTGGTGATGCAAGGGGTTAAGATGCAACCTATGGGGGCCTCCCCGGTGGCACAGAGGTTGAGCGCTGGGTTGCAAAGCTGCCTGCAGCTTCTGCAACGCTGGTTCAATTCCCAGCCACTGGGCGAGGGTCCCACATGGCGCGCAGACCTCTCCTGCCGCCCGCTGCTCCCCTCAGCAGTGTACTTCGTCAGTCTGCCTGCTCTGCTCTGCTCTGCGCTCTGCCTCTGGTGAATTTTCTCACCCTCCCGCGCTTCTGAATATACCCGGTGCTTGTATAAATAAAATCTTAAAAAAAAAAAAAAAAGCCACAACCTATGAAGCTGTTTGCAGCCACTGCAGCACAAGTTCGATGCTGCCTGGCCAGGAAGATACCCACACGGCACAGCAGACCTCTCCTGACTCACCTGCTGCTCCCCTCAGCAGTGTACTTCAGTCAGTCTGCCTGTTCTGTTTCCCACTCTGTCTCTGGTAAATCCTCTCATGTTCCGACACCTCTGCCCTGTACCCCAGTTCTTGTATGCATAAATAATCTTTAAAAAAAAAAAAGACTATTGAGACTTCCACATCATTAACATGATAATCTCTCTTCATTTATTCTTTCTCCATTATCTATTTTTTAATGTCTTAATAAAGTTTTAAAATGTTTTGTCAACAGTTCTTAAGGGTTTTAAAAATTTATTTTTGGGCCTCCCGGGTGGCTCAATGTGTTGAGTGCAGCACTGTGAAGCTGTCCACGGCCTCTGCAGTGTGGGTTCAATTCCCGGCCAGCCAGGAAGATACCCACATGGTGCAGCAGAACCCTCCTGTCTCGCCCACAGCTCCCCTCAGTAGTGCTTTCGGTCACCTGCCTGTTCTGCTCCCTGCTCTGTCTCTGGTGAGTCCTCTCACCCTCCCATGCCTCTGGCCTGTACCCAGCTCTTGTATAAATAAATCTTAAAAAAATAATTATTCTTAGGTACTGCATACTTTTATGATGCCACTGAAATGTTATGTGTCTTCATTTAAAAAAAAATTATTTATTTATGCATACAAGAACTGGGGTATAGGCCAGAAGTGCGGGGGTGGGATGGGGTGGGAAGAGAATGAGAGGATTCACCAGAGGCAGAGTGGGGAGCAGAACAGGTGACAGGTGGACCTACCGAAATACACTGCTAAGGGGTGCAGCGGGTGAGACAGGAGAGGTCCTGTTGCACTATGTGGGTCAGCTCCCTGGCCAGGGAGCAAACTCCTGCTGCAATGGCTGCTGATAGCTTGATAGTGCTGAGACTTTAACCCCTGTGCCACCAGGGAGGACCTGTCTTGACTTTTTTTAATTTTTATTTTTAAAGATTTATTTATTTATGCATACAAGAGCTGGGGCACAGGCCAGAGATGTGGGGGGGTGAGAGGATTCACCAGAGACAGAGTGGGGAACAGAACGGGGAGATTGACTGAAGTACACTGCTGAGGGGAGCAGCTGGCGAGACAGGAGAGGTCTGCTGCACCACGGTGGGTTGCTCCCTGGCGGGCCAGGGATTGAACTTGTGCTGCAGAGGCTGCAGATTGCTTCATAGTGAGGTGCTTAACCCCTTGTGCCACCAGGGAGGCTCACTGACACTTTTTTTTTTTTAAGATTTATTTATTTATTTATACAAGCACTGGGTACAGTCAGAAGCGTGGGAGGGTGAGAGAATTCACCACAGCCAGAGCGGAGAACAGGACAAGCAGATGGCGGAAATACACTGCTGAGGGGAGCAGCAGGCGTGGCAGGAGAGGTCTGTGGCCCATGTGGGACCCTCACTGACTTTTTTTTTTTTTTTTTTTAAAGATTTATTTATTTATTTATACAAGCACTGGGTACAGTCAGAAGCGCAGGAGGGTGAGAGAATTCACCAGAGCCAGAGCGGGGAGCAGAGCAGGCAGAAGGACCGAAGTACACTGCTGAGGGGAGCAGCGGGCGGCAGGAGAGGTCTGCGCGCCATGTGGGACCCTCCTCCGGTGGCCGGGGAGCAGTCGGGGATCGAACAGGCGCTGCAGAGGCTGCGGGCAGCTTCGCAACCCAGCGCTCAACCGCTGCACCACCAGGGAGGCCCCTGACTTTTTTTTTTAATGATGAAATATATTGAAGTAAACTATCATTATTCTCTTCAACAATTCAGTATATTTTTCTTAAATAACATTATTGCAATTTATCATATGATGCCTAAATATCTTCCATTATTGAAAAACCAAATAACCAATAAACATTAAAAGAGGCTTAAGCTTATTTATAATTAAGAAAACACAAATTTATAGGGCAAAGGGATTAATTTACCCCCTTATCAAACTGAGAAAAATGAAAAGGTAGGATACTGAGTGTTGGTAAAGATTCAGCGCATTGGAACGCAAATAGATTTGCCAAAGGGAGGAAGGTAACAATATTTCTAGAAAGACAGTTTGGCATTATACATACAGTAAAACTGAAGATAAATACAACCAATGACTTCTGCCACCACAATGTGTTCCAAGAAACAAGATGTGTACCAAGAAGAACAAGTAACTACAATGACTCTCACAGCAATACTATTTGCAACAGAAAAAATAATTGAGATAACTCGTGTACATCAAAATTAGAATAAACGGTGCTATGTAAATATAATGGACTAAAACATAGTAATGTAAAATGAACAAATTAATGGTATTACAATGACATGGTCAATCTCACAAATTTCATAATATTGACATAAAGAACAAATACAGAATAACAAGCATCGTATAAGATTACTCATATAAAGTTCAAAACCAAGTGCCTGCCACTTCCTAATCTAGCTGAAGATACGAAAGTTCACTGTATCATTTTGCTACTTTAGGTATAAAATTTATGGGGGTAGGGGTAGGGAGGAGCACAGAAATCAAACACAGCTAAGTTGTGTTCTCTAGGAGTAGTTCTTCATTTGGGTGATAGATGTATGGCTTTCCTTTATATTTATTTATTAAACTCTACATATATATTTTATGTATTTTTCTAGTATATTTAGATTACAAGACAAAAAGGTAAAAAATGTGACAGGTATGTAAAAATATTTTCAATGAAAACCTGCTATACACTTGTTAAATATTATTATACAAAAATAAACTTTTTGCTTTATAACAAGCAAACATAAGAGCTTTTGCCATGCAGGCATTTTTCTTGAGATCAAGCTATCAAAATTTACCCACTGATGAGCAATTTTTGGGCTAGCAAATAATGATGTCATCTGATTTTTATGAGATAGTTCTTACACAACCATCAATTCTGAAACTTGTTCAGTTTGATGTTAGGTAGTATATTCTTTTTGAACGACTCCTGTGAGTTCCAATAAGATGCCCCAATATTCAACTGGCAAATACAGCATATGCCACTTAAAACTTTATTGTGAGAAAACTCCGGATGAAAGTTATATAATTCAAATACCACACACAATTTATTATGTTCATGTATAAACTGTGACTATTTTCTATAGGTTTTTCTGCCTTGTTAGGATTTTAGAGTATTTTTTCATAAAGCATTCAATGAAAACTTGTTCAGAATTTCATGTTTACATATTGACTTTTAATATATGTATATTAACCCATTTGATTGTCATTTTCTGTGTCATGTAAATCAATATCAAAATCTAAATCATCATCACTTTCTTCTTTATTTCCTCTGCAGCTTCTTCTATGGTTGAAGTGTACGTTATTTTCAGTATTTTCTGTCTTTTCTGGTTCTTTATTAAACCTAAAGATGGAAGAAAAAACTTCTAGTTATTTTCCAGGCTTTCATTACTAAACTTTGTAGACTGAAGAAAATTTTACACTACATTTCTTCACAACAGGATTTTAATGAAATAAGTATAGACAAAATGATCCTTGAAGACTAGCTTAAACCCAGCCAGTTATCATACTGTCATCAATAAAGTTGACTCAAAGAAATCAATAATGACATCCATAAAAGAAAAGTTGTTAGTTGATGAAAAATTTGTTTGTAATAAATAATGAATGTGAACCTCACAAATAAGTATTTTAATTTCCTAAATATGTAAGTTTAACTCTTACTATACGTAAGAAAAATTTCACAAATAATTAAAATTTTTCTATTAGGAAGAAAAAAAATCTACATTAATGTAATATACTTCAACTTAAGATTCTCAAAGCTACAGAATTTGTTTTTTTAAAAGAAACAAGCATATTAATTACTAAAAGAGTAAAACACAAACATTAAAAATAAATACTCACGGAATAACAATGTCTTCTTTCTTTCCACATTTTGCACAAACTTCAAGTTCAGATGCACATGGTCTACACATTATGTGATAAGAATCTTTCACTGTCTTTTGTAAACATTTAACACTAAAAGTGGAAAAGAAAATCAAATATTAGTTTTTGCTAATTACCTAAGATTTATTTGCTAAAATAAGGGGGTGTGGCTAAAGGTGTATGCAGAAAGTCTAAAAATCAGAACTAGATTTTAATCTCAGTTAGATATTTGTTACTTTAATTATATAGATTTTTAAATAAATTTACAGCTACAAAATAATAGTAATGGGAATTTATTTAAAACTTTTTAAAAAGACTCTTCTGCAAATAATAATAGTTTTACTTCCTTTCCTATTTGGTTGTCTTATATTCATTTTTCTTACCTAATTACTCTGGTGAGGACTTCCAATACTAAGTTGGGTGAGAGTGGTCTTCCTAGTCATCTTCTTGATCTTCCAGAAAAAGTTTTTCAGTTTTTCACCACTGAGTCTGATGTGAGCTGTGGGATTCTCCTATATGGTTTTTATGATGTTGAGGTAAGTTTCCTCTATACACACTGTGTTGAGCATTTTTATCACAAATAGACGTTGAATTTTGTTGAATGCTTTTCTGCATCTATTGAGATAGTTATAGGATTTTTCCCTCGTTTTGTTAATGTGGTATATCACAATGATTGATTTACAGAAGTTGAACAATTTCTACTTGATCATGGTATATGATTCTTTAAAAATATTGTTGAATACAGTTTGCTAATATTTTATTGAGGGTTTTATTTTAATCTGTTTATCATGGATATTGGTCTATCATTTTTTTTTTCTTGTGAAATCCTGTCTCTGGATTTGTTATCAGGGTAAATTAACTTATGAAATGAGTTTGGAAGTGTTCCCTCCTCTTCTGGTTTTTTTTTTTTTTTTTTTTGGAAGAGTATGAGAAGGATTGTTATTTGTTCTTTGACTGATAGAATTAACCAGTGAAGTCATGTGGTCCCAACTTTTGTCTGTTGGGAGGTTTCTAATTACTGATTGAACCTCCTTACTAAGATCAGTGTGTTCATATTTTTTTCTTCCTCATAATTCAGGCTTGTTAGGTTAGGCTGTATTTTTCTAGGAATTTATTCATTTCTTCTAAGTTGTTAAGTTTGTTGCCACATGATTATTTATTGTAGTCTCTTATGTTTCTTTGTATTTCTTTGGTATCAGAATATCTGTTATCACATCCTCTTTCATTTCTGATTTTATTTACTTGAGTCCTCTTTTTCTTCTTGGTAAGTCTAGATAAAGGTTAGTCAATTTTATCTTTTCAAAGAAACAGCTCTTAGTTTCACTGATCTTTTTTTATAGGTCATTTTAGATTTAATTCATTTTTTTCCACTTTTATTTGTTCCTTCCTTCCTTCTACTAAATTTAGACTTTGTTCTTTTACTCTATCTTTGAGGTACAAAGCTAAGTTGCTTATTTAAGATTTCACTTGTTTCTTGATGTATGGATTTAGTTATGAGCTTGTCTATTAAAAATGCTTTCCCTGCACTTCATGACTAACTTTGTTGTATTTCCAACTTCATTTGTTTCAAGGTATTTTTTAAATTTCTCTTTTGATGTCTTCATTGACCCACTGACTGTTCAGTAGCATGTTGTTTAATCACCACATATTTGTGAATGTCCCAGTTATTGTCCAATAATTAATTTCTAGTTTCATACCATTTGGCTCAACAAAGATGCCCAATATAATTCCAAGCCTTATAAAATTTATTAAGACCTGTTTTGTTATCTAACATTTATTTGATCTATCCTGGAGAATGTTCTGTGTGTACTTGAGAAGAATGTGTATTCAATTGTTTTGGGATGGAATGTTCTGTATAATATTGTTTAAATGTCCATACTACCTAAAACAATCTACAGGATCAATGTAATATGTAATCCCTATCAAAACCCCAATGACTTTTTTCACAAAACTTGTTTGAAACTATAAAAGACCCTGAACAGACAGACAAATCTTAAGAACAAAACTGGAGACATGGTGCTCCCTAATTTCAAATTATGTTACAATGCCATAGATAAGGTACTGGCATAAAAACATGGAGGTGGCCTCCTGGGCAAGGCACACAGTAACCCATGGAGGTGGCCTCCTGAGGCCAGGCACACAGAAACCCCCTGAAGGCAGTGGTCAAAGGGCCATACCCCCTCTAGAGCACATGCTGTGTGTGTGCCCTGAACCTGTCTGCACCTGCCTGTCCAGTAACTGCTGCTGCTACAACAAACAATCGTAAACTGGACTGGCTACATTTCAAAAACTCAACAGCTACCAATTGCCAGTGGCTACTGATTGGTAACTTTGCTGTTAGATGCAGAAACAGAAAATAAATCAATGAATTCCACATCAACTGGTAAAAAAGAATCCCATCCAAGTTACCATAATACATTTAGTTGTCCTGTCTCTGTCTCTTTCTTTTTTAAAATATAATGGGCATAAAACATTGCATTGTATATTAATTTGATATATGCATATATTGTAAAATGACTACCATGCTAAGTTTCGTTAACACACAGTATTTTTTCTTGTGATGAAAACTTTTAAGATATATTCTCTTAGTTGTCCTGTCTCTATACTTTATTGTTGGCTTGTGGCAGATTGTGAAACTTTCTTGTTTTTGATGACCTTGATGGTTTTTGGGGAAAACTGGGTAGATATTTTATAAGCAAAAAAGTGAGTTTATTAACTTAACAATGTATAGGGTCACTAAATAAAAATAAACTATTTTTATATTCTAACAATGACCACTGACTTTCTTTTGTAGAAACTGACAAGCTGATTCTAAATAATTAGAAAAAGCAAAGAATTTATAAAAATCAAAACAATGATGAAAAAGAACAACAAGGCTGTGAGATTCGTATGATGGGATCTCAAGATTTATCATATAACTGCAATGATCAAGCAGTGTGGCCTTGGTGAACGGCTAGACACACAGGTCCAAGAGTCAAAACAGAGCTGAAGAGTAGAGGCATACCTATAAAACTGACTTTCAAAAGCACAAAGGCAGTTCAACAGAAAAACGATAGTCTTTTCAACAAATGATGCTGAACAAGGGCTATCCATAAAATAAACAATAAATGGATCATAAACCCAAATATAAAGCCAATAATTGTAAAATATCTATGACTCTAGGCTAGGCAAAGATTTTTTAGCTGCAACAATAAAACCAATGTCAGGGAAGTAAGGAAATCTCCCCCTATCCTGTTGGGTTCTTCCTGGTGATTGCAGTCAAGCAATCAAACTAACAATGAATTTAGTTGTAACAGAAAACTAGTAGGAGACTAAAAATTATGAGGAGGAGAAAAAAAAATTTAACTACATACACAAGAAGAGAAGAATCTACATAGATTTGGATACCAAAGACAATGAGGAAAAGGGTGGGTTGCGGGGAGTATAGATCTTGAGCTAAGGATTGGTGTAGGGACTTGGGACTTGAGGACAGAAGCGATGGACTCACATGATAAGGAAAGGGTGATTCGTATGACAAATACCAGATGGTTTGTAATTACATATTTGCCCTGCCATGTAGATAGTTTTCCCAATAAACTGGTTATTTCTCATAAAATCGCTAATTCTAAGTATACCTTCAATTTTCATTCTTCTAAAGTAGTTAAGGGAGTGGTACAATTTCCTGTGAGCTGCAGAGCCTAGACTGATTTCAGTTCGAAATAATCCACATGCTAAAGTGAGAATTTTGGGAAAGCTTGCTACAAACATTTGGGGACTGACCAATTAGACAGATCTTTACCAAAATAAAAAATCTCTTTACTTTGAAAAACAAATAAAGAAAATTAAAAACAAACAAGTCAGATGCTGGTGGAAAATATTTCTAAAACATGTATCGGAGACATTATTTGTACCCACTAAAGAACTTACAAAATTTGACAATAAGTAAGTAAACAAACCAATTCAAAAATATGAGCTAAAGAACAGAAACTTCACCAAAGAAGATTAAAAAAAAAAAAAAAAGCAAAAAGAGCACATGAAAAGATGCTTAGTATCACTGGTTACCAGAAAATTGCAAACTAAAATCACAATGAGATTCATTCAGTTACTTACTTAAGGCTAAAAAAAGAACAAAATAAAACTAAAAGAAATAACCACCCTGACAATCCTAATTGTTGATAAGGATGAAGAACATCTGGAACACTCACACACTTTGAAAATCAGTTTGACAGTTTCTTATAAACATATTTTTAACATACAATCCAGCAATCTCACTGCTAAATATTTGCTCAAGAGAAACGAAAACATATGTTCACATAAAACCTCGTACATGAATGTTTATGGAAGTATAATTAATTTGTAATCATCAAAGAATAGCAAAATCTAAATGTCTATCAACAGGTGAATGGATGATCTATCTGTGGCACATCCTTACAATAGAATACTGCTCAGCAATATAAAATGGACCACACAACATAGGTGAACATTAAATTCTCTATGTCCATACTATCTAAAACAATCTACAGGATCAATGTAATATGTAATCCCTATCAAAACCCCTATGACTTTTTTCACAAAACTTGTTTGAAACTATAAAAGACCCTGAACAGACAGACAAATCTGAAGAACAAAACTGGAGGCATGGTGCTCCCTAATTTCAAATTATGTTACAATGATATAGATAAGGTACTGGCATAAAAACATGGAGGTGGCCTCCTGGGGCCAGGCACACAGAAACCCCTTGAAGGCAGTGGTCAGAGGGCAATACCCCCTCTAGAGCAAGACTACCCACTATGATGCCACACATATTACATAAAGGTAAAAATATAGGGAAAGAAAACATGAATGTTTGCCAGGGATTGGGAGTGGGGAGAGGAATGACTACAAAATGGCATGAAGGTTTTGGAGGAATGAAACTGTTCTATATGTTGATTGCACTGTTGGTCTCACAACCATATTTTGTTAAAAGTACATACTACCAAGAGTGATTTTCACTGCATATAAATTATACACTCACGAGACATAGTTGGGAAAAATAAATTAGAATTAAAAAGAAATTTGGGGCCTCCCCAGTGGTGCAGCAGGTTGGGCACAGTGGGCTGAGCGCAATGCTGTGA